ATTTCAACTTAAGCATCAGATGATAAAGGACTAAATAGAATTTCAAACCAGGTCAAATCACTTTTATTTACCCATGGTTAATTCTTTAGGAATTACAGTATTGTGAACATGAATATAGGAGAAGGGACCACAAGGCAAAACCTAAACACTTGCAGACTTCACAGACAGCAGCAAGAAGTTTTATAGGGGGGCAGTAGACTGCTCGTAGCCAGCTTTTACTTAAGCCCTTGATTTACTGTGATGAGTCTTGTGTCTGATAGGTTGTTCCAGAGCTGCGTGAGTGGTGTGAAGAGAAGTCAATCAATTTGATTGAATGTGACCTCAGATGGGGTGTCCCAAAAGACTCCACAACAGAAACAACTATCAGAACTTGTTTGGGTGAAATTAATCGCTGTGCAGCAGAGGCAGATGGGGAACCATTTTTCTTAAACATGCTGGGAGAGCGGTAATGTATACCACTTTCAAATTTTTTTTCTAATTTCTAGAGTCTAAACTGAATCCTTAACCCTTAAACTCCCAGAAGTGATTAACATGTAACTTCTCCTTTTTGATATCCATACTTTATCCATCAAACAGGTTACAAGAATAATCAAACTTATCAGATGGAAGTTTTTATCTTGATCTAAAACCAAATTCTTTTAACTTATTTATAAGTTATCTCACAGCTTTTAGTCTCAAATAACTTTTGATTGTTACCTTTTTTTAGTATTTAAGTCACTTAAACTGTATCAAATACACAAATGTAACAGTTATGCTTAAACTAAACAAGATCATTTATATCTATAGATATGGATGGATTCCAGATTCATCAGAAATATCAGAAGAAATTCAAGAGGAGTACCAGTGGATTTTTCCAACATCAATAACACACATGGAAATCATTCATGCTGCATACAAGATGCAAAATAAAAACGCACTATTTCTTTTGAGAGATTCTGAGTTTTTAGCAGATCTGCCCCCACAGATGATGAAAGCATTTGTGGATGATCATCCTCTGAATAAGGCACATTTAAAGGTAATTTAAGGGTAAATTCTGTATGAATAAACTTTTACACCACTGTTTTCAGCTGCTACTTTTTTCCTGAAGTACCAGCTACTTTAATGTAATCTTTTACCTAAAGGAGCTCTTGACTGCAGTGAAACAAATACTCCTTGACAACACCTTAGGAAATGTACAGAGAACAGTATGGAGAATATGCATACTGAAGTAAAGGTCTAAAGGAGTACTGTTGAGCATCTACTGTTTTTTTTCCTAGTTTGGCAAATTTCTCTAAAACATATACCACAATTCTTTTGAAGGCATTGAAGGAAAATCTGAGACAAAGATATCCTGGACAAGTATTTGATTATTCTTGTCAATATGGTGGGATTGATGAATCAACAGGAAGGTCAAAGGTAGTAATTGCTGTTTCTGTAGCTTTTATATATTTGAAGTACTTAAGTGTGTAGTTCTTAGGATATCAAGAATCCATGATAAGTCCCAAAAAAATTGGAATTTTTTTAATTTTTAATCCAGAATACAAAATTGGCCACCAGTGTCCAAAATACAAAATTGGCCACTAGGGTCCAAAATACAAAATTGACTACTAGAGTCCAAAATACAAAATCGGCCACCAGGGTCCAAAATACAAAATTGGCCACTAGGGTCAAAAATCAAAATCAACCACCAGGGTCCAAAATACAAAATCAGCCAGTAGTGTCCAAAATAAAAAGTCAGCCACTAGTGTCCAAACCACAAAATCGGCCACAAAAATCCAAAATACAAAATCGGCCACTAGAGTTCATAACACAAGATCAATCACTAGTGTCTCAAATACCAAATCAGCCACTAGTGTCCAAAATATGAAATGGGCCATTAGGGTCCAACATACAAAACTGGCTACTAGGGTTCAAAATACAAAATCAGCCACTAGTGCCCAAAATATGAAATGGGCTACTAGGGTCCAAAATACAAAATTGGCTACTAGAGTCCAAAATACAAAATCGGCCACTAGAGTTCATAACACAAGATCAATCACTAGTGTCCCAAATACCAAATCAGCCACTAGTGTCCAAAATATGAAATAGGCCACTAGGGTCCAACATACCTAATTAAGCCCTAATTTGAAATGAATTCTGTATTTAAGGCAACTCACAAAATTCTTCCACTTCTGATTTCTGCTGCTGGAGGGGGGATCAAGGGCTCTTCTTCTTCTTCTTCGAAGTGGGAAGCTTTGGCATTGCAATAAGCTTCCACAACAGTTGCCCAGTACTCTTTTATACTAGAAGGTATCTAGAGATGCACTCTGTAAAGCTCTGCTAGGTAAACAACCTCATCACAAATAATTGCTCTGTTGAAAGTCCAACACTCGAGCCAACCACATTATCAGTCATAGTGTTGAGTGGTTTAGACAATTTACCTTTGACTAAAAATAAATTTATTTTGTTCGACTTTTATTGATATTGCAGGTCAAACTCAAAGGGTTAGAGGTTTTCTGTCAAATTGTGCTCGAATTTTTCAAGTCAGCTATCAACAGATTAATTCCGACCGTAAACCAGACATTGTCAGTGGAAGAAATTGGTGAGTTTTCTTTGAAGCAGCTTAATTTCAGGTGGAAATGGGTTGACTTAACAGGTAGCTCGGTATCGGTTGATAGGTCCAGGCTCGAGAACAGGCCAAGTCGTAATGCTGCGTGTTGTCGTCAGTTGTGTTATAGTCATAGCAAACCCTCGTCATCAACGCATCGGCACGAGCGTTTCTTCATCTGCGAGAAAATGTGAGGCCTTTTGCAAAGCAAGCTGATGAAAAGTGTGCACGTCTTCAATCTTCTTGCAGGCGGAGAAACGCGCATCCTGCAGCTCTTATCATGAGGGCCTGGCTAGCATATTATCAATAGTATCACAGAACATTGTCTGTAAATTTTATTTCTTGACATCCAATCCTCCAAACCGCAGAGCTCTCAATGCATAATCAGTTCATTGAATTGAGAGGCCAACTTGTACTTGGTCGTGGGGAAGAGATTACTACTGTAATGAACTATGTTCAACATGGAACCATATCTGATGGGTCTGGCTCAGGACTTCTTCCTCCTCTAATAGTTCTGGGGTCTTCAGGCTCTGGGAAGTCAGCACTCATGGCTTATTGTACGCTGGAGATACAAAATCTTGGACTCCCGTTGTTCTTTCACTTTGTTGGGGCATGTCCTGGATCAACGGTACCTTTAAAACTCCTGGAAAAGCTTGTACGATGGTTTAATAAAGGTTTTAGTGTGGAAGGTCTGTACATTGCTACTGAACATTTTATGTATAAGACACTCGCAAATTCTTGAATGCTGATCTTTAAAACTGAATCGCGATTTTTTCCCTTGAAACTGATGTTTATGCACAGTTAGGACTGGCCGCAGACAATGATAAACCTCAATCTGCGTGTTAAATTCCCGTCTTAACAAAGAATCGAGAGAACTCAGTGATTAATGTGCAGTTAAGTAAGAGAATCATTTCCTTCTTACCCTCGATGCAGACATGAGTGTGAAACAACTTCAACAAGAGATCAAGGAAGGCGTAGAAGAGCTTGGTAAACGGGAAGAGGTGTTTGTGATAATGATCGATGCAGTCAACCAGGTAATAGTAAGACCTTTTATTTACAGTCTTTTCCAAGTATATTAAAAAACAAAAGCAGAAAAATCCAAAGATATACAAAATTTCTTGTTTTCCTTCGAGTTTCGCGTTAGTAAATGTCTTGCGTAGCCCACCGGCGAAGCTTTGGCGCGAAAATTTCCCGCCTTTTAGTGTCAAGAAACATGCAGGTCCTTTTTAAACGTGCGCACGTCGCACAATGAAAAGCAACTTTGTGCATTTCCTTTCATCTCTACGCGGACTTCTTTTTTTTACTTAATTTTAAATTTATGTGGTAGCTAGCAGATGTTGAATCCCAAGAACATATGGACTGGCTTCCAAGCTCTTTCCCGCACAATGTTCGTTGCGTAATCAGTGCAGTGACTGACAGTCGTTCTGTTATCCTCCTGTCCGACGAGCGCCGCGCACCTAGTCCAGTACCCCTTCATCTACCAGACCTTGATACGTCTGTCCGACAAAAGATAGTGGAACGTAAATTGGGCGAGTACAAAAAGGTATTGTTCAGTGCTATTCAATACCTGGCATTTTGACCTAACAAAGATAATGTTAAGACAGACAAGTCAGGTTAAACCAAGTGTCGCTTATTCCCTCTACTTGGTTCAAAACATGTCACACCTCCTCAGTCAAAACCAATCAGGTTATCACAACGTGCTTTTTCCCGCGCATGGCGCAAGTGTCACGTATGCTTTCTTTGAGCTCCCTTTGGTTCATTGCGACGTTTACGTTTCTTTTTATTGGCTGTTGCAACTAACTGCTTTATTTTGACCCAGCGTCATTTGATTGTTGGTGATCATTAACTATTTTGTCTGATGTTTCAAGAAACTGGATGCGGAGCAGATGAAACTGCTGATCGATTCTCCAGGGGCGTCAAACCCTCTTTGGCTATCACTGTCTTGTGAGGAACTTAGAGTATTTGGAGTTTTTGAGACCATCACTCGCCACATCGTAAATTTGCCGTCTACGTTGAAAGAACTTCTGAAGTTTATAATGAACAGGCTCACAGCAGAGGACGAAGACGACAACATTCAAAAGGTATCTCACTCTAGCTGATTAGAATTCAGTGGCCGATCAGTCGTTTAACTTTAAACTTGTGTTTGATTGTTCTTCTCTAATCCGAAGGACAAGAAGTTAAATTTATGACGTCATCTTGTCACCATAGGCATATGTCATATTACTTGAGAACACTCCTTCAAGAAGCTGCTGACCTTGTCAATCGTTGGAGTAAAATAAATTTTTTAAAAATGAAACTTGCCCATAAAAGTTGTTCTTTTGGCTTCTCCCTTTTTTTTTTCGGAGTATCTGTGTGGGTGGATGAGGTTAAAGCACAGAAAGCCAGTGTGATGCATACATCTTTATTCTCATCCCTTCCAAGCAGTAGTATGTTGATGAAATTAAACTTAGCGAAAATAACGTTCTCTATTTTTCTTGAAGGTTTTGGGACTATTGGCTTGCAGCAGAGGTGGTTTGGGTGAAACAGAGCTCCAATACCTCCTGAGTGATGACCTTTCCAAAGCTGTGGCCATGATGGTCTGGGCACAAGTGCGTCGAACACTGAAACCTTTTCTTAGAAACGTTGCTGGCAGAAGAGAAGAGGAAAGACTTGATTTCTTCCACGCTTCAATACAAGAGGTGAGTAACCTTATTTCACACAGCATCGCCCGATTTCGGACTCAATCGTCCGTTTTCAGATAATATTATCAGATTTTGGATGTCGACATCCAAATTTGGCCGGTACTGTCCGATTTTGGACACTAGGGTCTGTTTTCAGACGGTAGTGTGTAAATTTTGGACACTTGTGTCCGATTTTAGAAATTCGTGTCCGAAGTTTGGTCGAAAATAAATTTCCACATTTCTTAAAATTCGCGTTTTAATATATTTTTACAGGTTGTCCTGGAAACTATTCTCCAGGATTCTGAGGAAAAGAAAAAATTCCATTTGAAACTTGCTGATTACTTTGAACTTCACTGTAAAGATAAAGACCGAGTGATCTTCATGGCACCAGAACAGCTTAAATTGGCTGGGAAAAGGAAAAGGCTGCTGGAATTTCTGAGGAACGAGAAGCGCTTTGGAACACCAGGACAATGGAAAGACCGCTACTATGAGGTAGTTTGAAATTTGAAAATCTATAAAAAATCTTGCAGTTGGACAAGAAAAGTCCATAAAAGAAAGTACTTAAATTTCTAAAATAGAAAATCAACTGGTTGATCCTCTGTTGGGTTTTAAAGTTTATAGTTGTTGAGATAGCAACTGGAGCTACGTTCTTGAACAAAATTCAATCACATTCATTTGCAAAAGCACTCTCAGCGCGATTCGAGGTGCTGTCCTCCCCCCGCCCCCACCCCCAAATGGTGATGATTTCAATCTCTCTAACTTTTCCTTTCGTTCTTAACATTGTTGTTAGTGGTGGTGGGAGGGGATGGGATGGATAGAAAGAGAGGTCGATCAATTTGAAGCACCACTACAAATGTT